TGTTTTTATTTTCTTTATGGAGTAAGGATTCTTGCTGGCACAGTGAGTTAGGTGTTAGACTGTTAATAGTAAGCTGAGTAGTTCAAATCCCCCAGCTGCACTGTGGGAGAAAGACGAGGCTATTTGCTCCTGCAAAGATGTATGGTCTCCTAAATCCTAAAGAACAGTTCTACTCTGTCCTACAGAGTAGGAATTGATGAGATGGCAGTGGGTTTGGTTTGATGGGGTATTTACAAAAGATGGTTCTGTATAATAAGCCTTCTAAATTCTTGTACACTTGAAAGCATCTTTGACATGCTCTTATTTTTAAGTAATAGTACAGTTGGATTAAAATGTTTACATTCAAGCTCTTTTCTGTAACACTTTTTCATGTAGGGCCGCTATTGAGCAGTCTGATATCCATTTAATTTTTATCCTTTTACACAGAGGATCTGCTCTTACTCTTTAAAAAAAGTTTTTAGAATTTTCTCTTGATCTGATAACCTTGAATTTTATTGCAATGTGTCGATGTGTTTTCCTTATTTATTCTTTTTAGCATCTATTTATGTCTTTCATCTTTAATTCTAGGAATTTTTTGATCATTACTTCAAGTATGTCTAATTCTGTTTTTCCTTCCCTTCTACAAGTCCTATGTAGTAATTGATACTACTTTTGTCTTTATTTTTACTTTTGCATTACATCTCATCTTCCATGTCATTAACTTTTTCTACTATAGATACTCTGCTACTAAATCCACTTATTGGGTTCTTTATTTCAGCAGGTATATTTTCATGTCACCAGTTTCCAATTTATTTTCTTTCATACCATCCTTATCCTACCTCATGTTATCATTATGCCTTATGCTTACAATATGCCAATATGCTTCCTTTAAATTCATGTTCTATTTGGCCTCAAAAAATCTCCCTTTATCTACACAAGTTAGCATATTGTTTTTTATATAACATACTTTGTATGTATTTTATTAGTTTCTCAGATCTATCAATCTCTCTTTCAATATGTGGTTCTAACATTCAGGTTCAGGAAGAGAAAATGTGCTTTATAATTTCTGAAATTTCATCTTAAAAGTTTGAGATAAACAAATAAATCTTCATGTCCTACCATATATAACAGTTTAGTTTTATCTATTTTAAAAAGAATAAAAAATGGCTTCAACTCAATTTTCATTAAATCTTTCTTATTAGTTTTTTAAAATTAAACTGAATCTGATTCTTTTACAAGTAGTCTCAACTTAATGCCTGCCTTATGACACTGTCCCAAAGAACTGCTCTTTACTAAGAGACTTCAAAACATTGGATTTAAATAGATGAAACAAAACAAATCGAAACAACTTTATATATCATCCTTTCTCTCTGAGTGATTATATTCTTTCATAAAGGATTTTTTTCAACTTTTTTTTAAAAAATGGGAAGTTAATACATGTATCATATTCCATAGTTCAATCACATCAAAGCAGTATAGTACATTTGCTATCACAGTCAGTTTCCAAACATTCTTTTCCTTCTGGAACTCCTTGAAAACAGCTCCTTTTGACTCCCACGCCCCTCTCCACCACTGCACCCCAGAAACCCTTATTCTACTTGCTGTCCCTATAGGTTCATCAATCCTGGGTTTCATCTACCGAAACACACATAACAAAAATTTAAGAGGGTGACTCTATTGACATAACACATTTGAGACAAACAAAAAAAAATACAGAAAATGTTGAAAACCAGATCAGGTATAACATGCACCAGAGGGGGGATTCAACTGACAAGGTTTTCACTGTTCAAGGAAGGTTCATCCTTTTGATCATCTACACTCATCTCTCCAATGCACTCTGTTTAGTACCTACATACTCGTGCGGAAGCTGAGTTTTTCAGCACATTTTTAATGCAGTTTTTACAGTAAAATTAGGTGCTTCAGCTGATATTCAGGTCGGCTTATACTCGAGTATATACAGTAACGAATTTCCTCCCATCCCTCTGTGATGGACAGAGGGAAATAACCGGAGGCTTACTTCTTCCAATGCAGTTCCTACAAATGTAGCTTAGGCTCCCATGGTCATCCATCGCCTTCTACAAACTGGATTCTCACAACTTAGGTTCTGGTACTATTCCTTTCTCTGACTTCAGTGACTGATGATGGTGTGCTTCTTCCATGTGGACATTGTTGACATCTCACGTAGATGGCTGCTTGTTTGGAGACAAGCCTTTAAGATCCTAGACACTATTTTATCTGATTGCTGGGCACCATCTAATTTCTTTACCACATTTTGCCATAGTGTGTCCCCTTCCTGAGGATGAGTATCCAGCAGGGCCATGATGTAAGAACTAATTGTTCTTAGTTGGAGCTAGGGTTTAGTGTGATCCCCACACCCATTCCTGGATCTATGTTTTTAAAAATCTGCCTTTGACTCTCTTTCAAAGCCTCATTGTTAATTTATGGTAGAGAGTCTTATCAATGATCTTGGGGGTTGCGTGGGGTGGGGGGTGGCTGGTACTATTTAAAGCCTTGTTGAGAGAGGAATATTGGGTAAATGTAGGCTTAAAAAAAATCACAGGATTTTTCTAAATGTTTTAATATTTGTAACTTTAAAGACACCAACAGCATAAATCACATTTACACAATACAAAAAAACCTCATTGTCATTGTTTTAAAGGAGCATACTATCTTTATAACCAGGCTGAGTACCTTAGGTGGAAAGCCAGTTGAACCAGGGCATCCCTTTTTCCTCAGGGTTGGTGTGTGAGCTGGAAGTGGAGTACTGTCTACAGTCTGAACCCAGGGGCAAAAAGGAGATAAATGTCATGAAATATTCCATATATTTCAAATAACACTAGAAGCAAATCAAAGTAACAAAGTAAAACCAAACAAAATATTAATTAGGCAGATATTCTAGTTAATAGAAAAACGTTTCAATGAAGATAAATTATTCACAGCAATGATAATTTAAATTTCGTCCTGCAATCTCTACAGAGGAAATATTTGCTAAAACTCATTTTGGAAATAAAAAATGGAAAAGAACATCACAGAAGAACAAAATTGCAGCATGTAGCCTATAAAAATAAGGATATCCATTTAAATGTGTTCTTAATTTTCTATATTTGCTATATGAATTGTAAAAATTATCAGAATCATTGGCAACATGTATGATAAAATTTTTAAAAGACTCTTAAATCATTTGCTTCCATATATATCCATACCTGACTACTCATTACCTAAAAGGAATATAATTCTTTGAACTTGAACATGTTTAAAAAGAGAAGTTAGTGAGTTTTGTGAAGAAAGAAATTTCCAAAGAAAGGTATTAGTCAATAAAATTGCCTTCTACTATGGAGTATTACTGGAAGATAGTTCTTTGAATGATTGAAGCCTGTGATTTTACTGGATGTTATTGTGGGGAAAACAAAGATACCACTTAATTATCCATGTATAAAAGATAGAGATAAAGAATGACTTGCCATTCCTCCCAAATGTGAAGGAAACCAATTAGAGAAAAAAAAAAAAAGGTCATTATATAATGTTACAGAATGTTTAGAAAGATTGAGAGAAAAATGGATGATCCCTTTTTTGTCTTTGTGGCTGTATATCCCTCTGAAAGCACAGTATTTTATTTCTTTGAAATTGGATTGTGTCGAGCTTCGGTTTTCTCTTTAATTCTAAGTTTAATTTTAAGTTTAATTTACTTTTAAACAGCTTGAGAAAAGTTTTTAACTTATAATGAATATGTAAAAGCTAGCCATGAAAGACAACATAAACACTTAAAATCTATTTAAAATAAAAACCAATTCATAGATTTTTTTGTTAGTTGATTATTACAATATTCACAAAAAGTAAAGATAAATTACTAGAACTAAAAAGAATAAAGCAAAGTTTGCTGGATTTAATACCAACAACTTTTTTTTAATTTTTATTTTTTAACAACTTTCATAAATAGCAGCAACACCCAATAAAAAATATATTTTAAGAACTTCGTCACTGAAACAATGAGACTTTAAAGATACCTAGAAACAAATCTCACTAGCAATACAGAATATAGTCATGAATAAAATGAGATTTTACTGAAGGGTACAACAGAATCTTAAGAAATAGATCTATATTCATAAATAGACTCAATCCCACGAAAGTGTCAGTTCTCCATATATAAACCCACAAGTTCAATGTAATTCTAATCAGTAGCCCCACAGCAAACTGAACAAATGTTCAGAAGTCATAGAAAACTAAAGTCAGATAAACCAGAGTCATTTAAAAACTAAAAACTCAGGAAGAATGAGGTAGGCAGGAGTGGCTTATTATACCAAGCATTAAAGTACAGGAATTAAGACAATGTGGTATCAGTACAGAAATAGACAAAAAGAGTAATGAAAGAGAATAGAGAACCCCCAAACCAACACACGCATATGAGGCAGAGACAGCATAAAAACAGGCAATGAAATACATGAGAGTTAATTGTATATATGGAAAAGATTAGAACCCTCCTTCCCTTACTATATAACAACACATTTCAGCTTCACTTTTCTAACATATCAATATGTCACGGTCATAAAAACATAAAAGCTGAATTTTAAAACATTTAGGAGAAAATACAGAAGACAATGTTTATGATCTGTCTATGGGAAAGAAATGATTTAAAACAACATGACAAGAAGTCATAAAGGAAGACTATTAAATCTATTTGACAATTTAAAATTCTGTAAGACAAAATGACTCTGCGAAAGGAAAAAAAAAGCCACAGATCGACAAAAGATATTTGCAATGCATGTAGCTGGCAAAGGATTAGTATGCAGATTATATAAAGAACACAACAACCACAATAAGAAAAATATATAACAATTGACAAAGGACATAACAGGCAAATCAGCAATAGCTTATAAACAAAAAAAAGCTCAATACCACTAGAAACAAGATAAATGCAAACGGAAATAAAAATGCCACTCTACACCCATTAGATAGGCCAGACATAACTTTCTAGTTACCTCTAATTGCTTCCTCCCCCCACCTACTATCGAGATCCCAATTCTACCTTACTGGCTAGACCAGAGAATATACACAGGTACAGATAAGAGCTGGAAACATAGGGAATCCAGGACAGATAAAACCCTTAGGAACAAAATTGAGATGAGTGATACCAGGAGGGTAAGGGGAAAGTGGAGGGAGAAAGGGGGAGCTGATCAAAATGATCTATATATAACCCCCTCCCTGGGGGATGGACAATAGAAAAGTGGGTGA